TTTTTCGAGCACGCATTTTCGCGATGAGAACGGGCGTTTTGTGGTCCGTTTGCCATTTGCCAAGCGTCCTAATTTGGTTGGTTCCTGCAACCTAGCTGCAGTCTGTTTGCGTCATTCTGAGCAACGATTGCAGAAGAATTCTCAACTCGCTGCTCGTTATCAAGCATTTATGCTCGAGTACATCGAGTTAGGGCACATAGAGTTAGTTCCTCCTCAGCAAGTTCTGAACCCTTCGTATTACCTGCCCCATCATGCAGTTGTTAAGCCAGACGATCTTGAAAAATAACATGTCGTTTTCAACGCTTCTCAAAAGGCTAAAAATGGTCTTTCCTTGAATGATGTCCTCTTGCCTGGACCGAAATTGCAGGCTAATATCTTAATCGTATTAACACTTTGGTGACGGTTCAAGTTTGTGTTTACAGCTGACGTGATCAAGATGTTTCTACAGATAGGGATTCATCCAGCTGATTCCGACTTGCAAAGAGTTCTGTGGAGGCAGGATGAATCGCTACCAATGCAAGATTATCGGTGTGTCACGGTGACCTACAGCACTGCTTTAGCCCCATATCTCTCGCTTCGGGTCATGAAGCAGCTTTCGCTCGATGGTGCCCATGATTATCCTGAGGCAGCTGTCATCTTTCAACAGATGCTGTATGTTGATGACATTTTCGCTGGCGCAGACTCTGTGGACGATGCTCTTCGTAAGCGAGATCAGCTGGTGGCGTTACTTAAAACGGCTGGCATGGCACTCAGCAAAAGGGTGGCTAACGAGGATTAATTATTGTCAGGCTTACAAACTAATGCTTACAAGACGGAGGTAACGGTAAAAAACACCGAGGTAATCTCAACTCTGGGTCTTAAATGGTTGCCAGGTGAGGATACCTTTACTTTTTCAGTTCATACTGCATCTCAAGCTCTACAAGTCACTAAGCGTTCGGTTTTATCTGAAATAGCCAGATTATTTGACTTACTTGGCTGGCTCGCACCTACAATTATTGTAGCTAAAGTTTTAATGCAAGATTTATGGCTTGATAACCTCGATTGGGACACGCCAGTGCCGGAATCTTTACATGATAGGTGGCTGCAGTTCAGAGCTGAGCTTCCAAATATCTCTCTCATTTGGATCCCAAGGTGGCTTGATATAACTGAGAAGGAAGAGTGGCATCTCCATGGGTTTGCTGACGCATCGCAGAGAGCATACGCAGCTGCTTTTTACTCTGTCGTACCAGGTCGTCAGCCTATGCTTCTGTTGGCGAAGACTAAGGTCGCACCAACGAATTTTCAGTCATTGCCGAGGCAGGAGCTCTGCGCTGCTACCCTGCTAGCATGACTTATCAATCATCTGCTTGAATCTCCGCTAAAACCGCCTGTTAACATTCATGCCTGGTCGGACTCTAGGGTTGTTTTGGAATGGCTAAAGAGTCATCCATCAAGGTGGCAGACCTTCGTGGCAAACCGGACTAGCGAAATAAAAACTCGGTTGCTAACTGCGACTTGGAGGCACGTGAGGTCCGCCGATAATGCAGCAGACTGTGCGACTAGAGGCCTCACACCATCTGTACTCGCCGATTATCAGTTGTGGTGGCATGGACTAGCTTGGCTGCCACTGCCAGAGTCTGCTTGGCCAACTTCAGGCCCCTTTTAACCCCAGATAGATGAAGAGGTTTACGTTCTTGCAGCCACGGAAGTGAAAATCGACGATGACAGAACAACTTCTTGATGTAACTGCTTACCATCCCTTCAGCAGTTCTCAAATTTTAGCAAGATAATCCGTATTTTAGCTTACTGCTGTGCTTGGCGTTTTAAAGCCACTGCAAAAACCCAAGACTCGAATCGAATCTTGTCTCAAAGAGACTGGGCCATGGCTCGTATCTACTGTTTCAGAGCCATTCAACTCCAACATTTCAAAGAAGAGCACGCTCAGTTACTCTCTGGGAAGCCGCTCCCCAAACAAAGCCTGCTCGCACGTCTCAGCCCGTTTGTATGCAGTCAAGGTCTCATTCGGGTTGGAGGACGTTTACACCTCTCAGCACTTCCTTGCAACGAGAAGCACCTTGTGATTCTACCTGGTGCGTGTATCTTCGTAAAACGCCTAGTAAAAGAGACCCATGAATTGACACTCCACGGTGGCACCCAACTCATGCTGTCGCACTTGTACCGATCCCTGTGGATAACAAGAGGATCTGCTGTGGCCACAGGAGTTTATCGACGCTGCGTAAGATGTGCTCGTTTCAACGTACCACGCCTGACCCAGCAGATGGGACCGTTGCCGATTACACGCACAACGCCTTCTCGTGCCTTCACGGTTACGGGGTTGGACTATGCCAGTCCGTTTCCTGTATATTTCTCAAGAGGCAGAGGAACAAAAACGACAAAGGACTATATCGCTATATTTATTTGTCTTGTTACTCGAGCAGAACATATTGAAGTGGTGTCTGACCTTTCCACCGATTGTTTCATTGCAGCTTTTACTCGGTTTACAGCTCGTCGAGGTGTGTGCCACACCATTTATTCAGACAACGCCACCACGTTCACGAAAGCAGCGAAGGAGCTAAAAGCTCTGTTCAACTCGGCGTCGCCTTTCTTCGACTGCATTGCCTCTACACTGGCTAGTCGTGGCACCGAGCGGTCCTTTATCCCTCCACGAGCTTCCTACTTTGGTGGTCTGTGGGAGGCTGCCGTTTGGAGCTTTAAACATCATTTCCGTAGAGTGATTGGAGAGCTCAAGCTCACCTTCGAAGAGCTTACTACATTGGCCACTAAAATCAAGGCCTGCCTAAATTCCAGGCCACTCTATCCACTCAGCACCGATGCCAACGAAGCAGTTACACTGACGCCGTCGCACTTCCTGGTAGGCACCTCATTGCTCGCCCATCCCGAGCCCTACGATGATACAAAACAACCAGCATCCCTCAACAGTCGCTGGAGGTTGCTCAGCCTTCTGCGGGATTCATTCTGGGCCCGAGGGAGGAAAGAAGTGCTTCATCATCTACAACGTCGCAACAAATGGCTCAACCTAAGGCCTAATTTGCGGCAAGGTGACGTAGTACTGATGACTGATGAACTCTCCCCCCCCCCAACCCACTAGTGACTTGGTCTGGTGACTGAGACCCATCCAGGTGATGACGGACTCGTACGGGTCGTCACGGTGAAAACTGTGAATTCGTCATTCAAGTGCCCCATCGTGAAGTTAATTAAACTCGCTACCGAGCCTGAATTGGAGCAGCTCTATCAGCAACTAAAGGTCTAGTTGCATTAAATGAACCGCTTAAAAATTTTGTTAAAAGAAAAATCCAAGAGTTCGGTAGCTTCGATAGGGGAGCTAAAAGTACATTTTTTTATTCATTCTAATTAATGTTAAGTTAATTTTGAAATTTTATGATTCAATTTATTTTCTTTGAAACCAAGAGCCTGTTATTCAATTATACAGGATTTTTGATATTGTTGTAAAACTACCTAACAAGCGTTGGTAGTCTAGGGACAGTTTCTAATAGCTTATTAGGCTTTCCTATTCTTTAGTAGTGTATAATTGTTTTGTTGACGCAAATGCGTTAAAGTGGGCGGAATTTTCTTTTATAAGTAAATATTTGTAGGGGACTTACTGCTCGGTGCACGAACTGTAATACCTTATACTAGAGACTGGCTGGTAAACGTGGAAGGGGCTCGCGCACACAAGTAAGGTAGTGTAAACTGCTCCGTCTGAGCTTGTATTGGTGTGCTCGACCCCCGCTCCTATTAATTCCCAATCTTTGGGGCTCTCTTGCGATCGCTCCACTGAGCTCGCGCTAAGTTTAGAGTCGACTTTTGTGTGCTTTTGAAGAAGGTCAGAAAGCTCCTGCGTGGCAGCCAGGCTCTCGTAGCTCAGTTGAAAAGTCGGCCATTGAACACAGAACGAACGAAACTAGATCTTCCCACGCAGACGGCATTTTGTAAACAGTTTTCGTTCCCCACTGGATCAAGGAAGCTTGTTAATCAAAGTCTTCATCGAGCATTGAATCCTCTCTCCCACTAGAGAAAATTCAGTAAGATCTTATTAGTTGTCCTCTTTGTTGAGGTAGTATTTTGTTATTTGTTAGTAAAAGCTTAAACTCCTCGAACAACGCTTTCAATCGTTGTTTCGTGGCAGTTAGCTGTTTATTAATTTCGTTCGCATACGCGTCTTAAATTTCCTCGAGACATTCTTTAGGTGATTGTAAGTTATATTTTGACTAATAAACAATTTTGGTTCGTTTAAAATATTATCGTTGATATTTAGTTTTAATCTCCTTTGTTAAAAAAAAAAAAACAGGGAAATTACAATTTTCGAAGGAGAAACATTTCCTGATGTAAGTAGAAGATCCTCAAAGGATGAAAAAGGATATAAAAAAACTGGTGATTTCGATCCGTGACTTAGAAAATTAGAGCCACGAGAAAAAGCCAGTGCAATTTTTTCTACTATTTACAGTTGTTATTTAATTATTAAACTACCACTGATATGAAAAATTTCATGGAGTGGCTAGGAGACAATGCAAAATTGTCATAATTAGTGTGTTAAAACAAATTTAAGAGTACAAGTGGTTATAAAATGAAATTTATATATTCCTTATGTTAGTGCCACTGTTTTCTTCGAACTAGGTATCTTTGTTAAGAAAACGCACTACCAACTCTTTGAGCAGTAATATGTTACTTTAGAATAAAAATGCAGTTGAGTCATACTAGTAGTCATAAGAAAGCAAGAAATCAGTAAGCAACAAGTTAAAGCCTTTAAATTTTTTGTTATTAAAAAAACAGCAAGAAACGAAGTCACTGTTACAATACTGTTATTTTAAATTAAAGAAGCTGAGAAAATGCTTGTTAAAAATGGGAAATTAAACAGAAATAAGAACGTAAATTACTTATACAACTCATAAGGCTACAATAAACAGATGGAGCATTAAGAATTTAAAATGAGTTAATAAGAATCTTATAAGTATTAGGTGGTATACATTTAGAACTTAAGTATAATGCAAAAGTTTACTTACGCCACTAAAGCTGTCCATTTGAAGACCGCTGTTTTCAAAAAAAACAATGAGTTTATAGGATGGAGTTGTCTTAAAAGACTTGTTATAACTAATAAGGACAGAAAATCTATCATCAATGAAGTCCTTAGCCAGTAAATATGTGCAACTACCATTAATCTTTAAAAACTTTCCATCAAACGTCTTTAAATACTGTGGTCCAATAATCATCGCTTGTGCTACAAAAAGAATTATTGGTTGTATTATTAGCATAAGTTTTAATAAGTATAACACTGTGTGATAATTAGGAGTACGGAAATATGTTAACAGTGAAACATTTAACTTTTTCAGTCTCAAATATTTGCTATCATACTGCTAAACCATACAAATTAGTCAATTCTGTCAGAAATCGACAATAAATGGCATAGTTAACATTTGATATGTTGATATATAAGGTACGTAAATATGTCAAGAGATCCTAATGGACCAAAAAAAAATACAGAGTCTAAATGTTAAAAACTGCTAATGAATGAAGGGTTAAAGTGCTAGACAAATTTCTATTTAAAAAATATAAACGTAACAGTTTACACAGATCCACATTTCTTATGATCACAAAAAATTAAAACTATGCCTTGCCATAAGAAAATTGGCTTTTAAATAGTTTGAATATTTATTTAGAATGATAACATAGGCAATGAGGCATTATACATCTCTCAACCAACGTTCAGAATTAATTACGACATCAACTTTACCATATGTAAAAGAACCTTCGAAATAAAACGGACTTTCAAAAAACTCTTGTGTAAGAATATTAAAATACTTGTTGGGAAACAATCTTTTATATTCGTACAGCATTTCTTTTTGTAAGGAAGCACAACTAACGAAAAATGTAAAATTCTTGTTATACAAACAAACTAATTCGTAATAAAAAAGAATCAAGTTAAAAGAACTACCATCGCATAAAACTAATATCGACAATAATAAAAATGATGATAATAATAATAATAATGCTGATAATAAAAATGATAATAATAATAATAATAATGGTATAAATAATCAAAACAATAATGATAATTATGATAATAGTGTTGAAAATCATAGTGATTCTGATAAAAATAATGATGACGATAATAATAATAATGATAGAAGTGATGATGATGTCAATAATAATGATGAAGATTACAATTATCATGATAATAATGATAATGATAATGATAATAATAATAGTAATTACAATGATGATAACAATGATGACAACAATGATATCTATGATACCGATAGTTGAAAATAACGATGTCGATGGTAATGGAAAAAAAAATTATAATCGTATTAATAATAATAAAAACAATAATAATAGTGTATTAATGTTAATGGCAATAACAGCAATAATGATAAGAATGTTTATGATTATGAAAATAATGAGAATGATAATAATGGTGTGGATCAAAATACTATTTATAAAAATAATGTTAATGAAAATAATAATAATTATAAAAATAATAAGTGTCCATCAACTCAATATCGTCATCGATTGGCAGTCTAGATAACGCATTAACATTAGCATTAGCCTCTGACTTAACATGCTCAATTATATACCTAAAACCAGACAGATAATATACCCAACGTTGTAATCTATTATTTGCTGCC